GGATGGATGGATGGATGGATCGGCCTGATGCGTCATCATGTACCTTACCCTCTGTCGTTTTTGTAGCGAGCATCTGATGACGTGTTCGAACTTGGAGGGCATCTGCTGCTCCACGTCCTTCTTGAGACGACGCAGCAGAAAGGGGCGCAGCACCGCATGCAGCCGCTTGATGAGCCCCTGCTCCCCTGACACCTGCACACACACACACACACACACCTCCATCACGCACACACGAAAGCGCCCCACCCACGTGTGTGTAGGTGTGGTGTGTACCTGTTGTTTCTCGATGGCGGCGGTGAGCGGGTCAGAGAACCACTCCTTGAAGTCGGCGTGAGACTCAAACACAGTCGGCTACACACACACACACACACAGAGAGAGAGAGGGAGAGAGCAATATTGTGTGTGTGTGTGTCGCGCCAACTAGCTCACCATGAGGAAGTGCATGAGCGACCACAGCTCGAGGAGGTCGTTCTGCAGTGGGGTGCCGGTGAGCAACAGCCGCCGTGACGTGTTGAAGGTGAGCAGCGTCTGCCACCTCTGCGACTTGAAGTTTTTGATGTTCTGCGCCTCGTCCAATATCATGTAATACCTGCAATCAATACAATGGCCTCACAAGGCACAGCACAGCTCGGGCGGACACAATCTCTCCCAGTCTCTCCCTCTCCTCTCTGTGAGTGTGTGTCGGTGCAGTGCAGCGGGCGTACCATTGTTTCCTCCTGAAGACGACAGCGTCCTGCAGCACGAGGGTGTATGACGAGATGCACACGTGGAATGAGTAGGGCTTAGACCAGCCCTGACGCTTGGCCTGACGCTCGCCCTTAGAACCTACACACACACACATACACCCCCACACCCACACCATCCTTGTGTGGACGTTGTGCGTGTGTCCCTGTCTGCAGCGTACCGTAGTAGGTGAGCACCTTGAAGCCCGGGCACCACTTCTTGAGCTCCATCTCCCAGTTCAGCATCACAGAAGTCGGCACCACTATCAGATGAGGACCCCATATGCCCTACCAACCACACACAGCGATGCGGCCAAGCCCTCCCCCCCCTCCCGCTCCCTCTCCCGCCGATCTGCATACATACCTGTTCACAGGCCAGATGCGCGAGCAGTGCAATGGTCTGGATGGTCTTGCCGAGCCCCATCTCGTCCGCAAGTATGCCGTTGAGGTTCTTGTCGTGGAGCGTGGCCAGCCAGTGCAGCCCAATGTGCTGGTACTCGCGCAGCGGCAGCTTCAGCAGGAAGGGCACCTGAGTCGACACCTGCGTCGTCGACAGCGTGTTGCCCGTCGGCTGCGCCATCCGCAGCTCCTCCGTCACGGTCTCGAGCGTCGTCTCTCCATGGCCACCCTTGCCGCCACTGCCGCCTCTCTTTGCAGCCTGGCCCATTCTGGCGACTGGCCAGCCTCCAGCTGAACCGTCTGGGCGTCTGCTGTCGGCCTCTGAGGGGGTGGGGGAGGGGGAGGGGAGCGGGGGAGAGGCGCGCCGCTGTGCCGGTGCTGGTGGTGCTGCTGGTGTTGCGGGTGAGGGCGTGGGTGTGGGTGACTCTGCTGCTGCCGGCTTGGGGCGTTTTGGGGGAGGCATCTCTGCGTCAGGTGCGGGGGGCCGTTTGATGGAGGGTGAGGGGGCTGACGCTGACGGCGTGGGGGATGGCTCCAGCTGCATGGAGGAGGAGGACGGCTGCTCCTCCTCCTCCTCCTCCTCCCCCTCCCCGCCTTGCTCGTCGCTCTCCACTTGCTCGTCTTCTCCTTCTTGTTCTTCATCATCATCATCATCCAGGCCCTCACCCTCCTGAGCAGCACGGTACCTGATGACACAGACATACACAGGGAGGGAGGGAGGGAGGGAGGGCGAAACATTTGTGGGGTGTGTGGTTCATTCATTCATGTGGCCGGCCAGTGTGTTATAAGCTGATTGCTTATTGACTGACATGGCCATGAGTTGTTCGATGGGCATGTCGGCCTCCGCCTTGAGGGCGTCGACCTCCTGCTTCTGCTCCTGATGGCTCATCACACCCTGGCCCTCCTCTTCTTCCAGAGTGGCCTCGTCGTCGACCTCTTCCTCCACCACATAATCTGCAACAAACAACACAGCACACACACGCAAACACACGCAGACAGAGGGGGAAGGACGGTGCTACAATCAATGGAGAGGTGTCGAGCGTTGGCTGGCTAGCTTACCGGCGTCGTCATCAGCGGCAGCTGACGACGATGAGGGTCCGCTGTCGGCTGCTGCTGCTGCCGGCTGGGAGGCTGCCAGGGGGCGTGCGCGTCTCGACCTCGTCACGGCCAGTGGCGGGGGCTTGGGGACGGCCTCTTGTTCCTCGGGGCCCTCCTCTTCTTTGCTCTCGCCCTCTTCCTGTTGCCCCTCCTGCTGTGGTGTGGTTGCGTCTTCCATGCCGGCGTCCTCTCCCTCTTCCTCGCTCTCCTCCTGTGGCTCTGACTCCTCCTCTCCCTGCCCATCGCCTTCAGAGGCCTGGCTGCGGTACCTGATACACAGAGAGATGGCACACACGCAGTGAGGGAGGGAGGGAGGGAGAGGTTCCTCATATATCTCTGTGTGGCTAAGGGCTAACTACTTCGCCGAGTGACTGACGCACGCACATGGCGAGTAGTTGCTCGATGGGCATCTCGGCCTCATTGAGTAGGTCTTGCGCCTCCTGCGCCTCCCGCGCCGCGACTCCCTCCCCCTCCTGCGCCTCCTCCATCTCAATCGTCGCCTCGTCGTCCGCAGCCACATCACCGTACTCTGCCAACGACACGACCACACACAACATCACATCACATCGCACCGAGCTTGGCGTGTGGTTGGTACCTTTGGCGTCGTCGAGCTGGAACTCCTCGTCCGCTGTGTCCGCCGCCTCCTGACCAGCTGCAGTAGCACCAGCGGCCCTGCCCTTGGCGGGCTTGGACCCTTGCTTAGCCGCAGCTGCCCGCTGCTGCCTCTGGCGGGGAGACGACGCGCGTGCGAGGGGCTCCTCAGCCACTGCTGGTGGGGGTGGAGGGGGCATGGGTTCGGTGCCGATCTGGTCGATCTCCATTGCCGCCATGTCGCCGTGGCCTTCTGGTGGTGGTGCTTGGGCACTTCCCTCGCCCTCAGCCTCCTGGTCGTTGGCTTCAGCTCCGATGCCCGTGGCCATGTTCTTGAAGAACTGTCCTGTCTGCTCGACCAGTCTGTCCAGCTGCTTGCTCCGCTCCTCGCGCAGCTGGTTCTGGATCCGTTGCTGGTGTCGCATCTTGACGATCTTCTCGCACAGTTTCCAGAAGGCGTCGACCTTCTTGGCCACGAAGGAGGCCTTCCGACGCAGCTCGCCCTCTTCGTCCTAACCAACCAGCCACACGAAGACTCAGTTCAGTGAGCGTGTTCGTGTGGCGCTGTCTGTCCGTCCGTCTGTCTGTCTGTCTGTCTGTTTGGTTCACTTACCACGAGAGCGGGGTTCCTCTTTTCGACTTCCTTCGCCGCGGCGCGTGCGAGGGCTTTGAATTGCCGATACTTGTACTTTCGCTCGTCCAGGAAATCCTTGGCCATCCACTCCTAAACACACCCACACACACGTAGCGACACACACATGTACAGTCAGTGGCGTGGACGGCAGGGCCCTGCCGGCACCACTCTCCCTCTGCCTACCATTTCCTTGAGTAGGTCGTCCCAGCTGGTTGGCTCGGTCTTGGGCTCGTCCAGCTCCTTCTGCATCTTACGCACATCGACACTAAATAAAACACAGACAGACAGACAAACGCACATCACATCGACAGACAGACAATGTGTCGGCTGCGCGGCTGCTCGGCTGTCTGTCTGTCTGTCCGTCTGTGGCGTGATGTCCACTGACTGACTTGAAGATGGATCTGTCTTCATATTTCTTGCGTATGTCGCCCTTGAGCCCCAGGTCGGCGTGCAGCTTCTTCAGCTCCTGCTCCGCCTCCCGCTTCTTGGCGATCAGTGCCGGTACGTCCACCGTCACCTCCTCGCTGACTGTGGCCGTTGACGATGCCTGCACACACACACACACACACACAGATTGGTGTACTGCACGTCTTTTCTTCTCCCCGCCTCCCGCTGACCGCTTCATGGTGCATCATCTGTGGTGGTGCCGCCGCCGGTTTGACATCTGCAGGCAGCAGTGGCGGCCTCTTCGCCATTACCGGCACCGGCGCAACCACAGGCGCCGACACGGGCGCTGACACGGGTGCAGGAGGCGGCATCGGCGGGACAACAGCAGCAGCAGCCGGCGATAGCGATGGCCTCAACAGCGGCGCCATCGGGTGCTCACGCGGTCGGGATGGCGGCGCAGCCTTCACCGCCGGCACACGGATCGCCGGCACACTCTCGCCCCTCACACCCGGTGGCACCACTGGACGAGCTAGAGGTGACACGAAAGGCCTTGACGGCGAAGCAGACGACTGGGAAGGAGACGTTGGCGGTAGCAGGGGTCCGAATGCTGGCCGGGTGGTGCGGAAATTCATGAACCCCCCGGGTGGGAGGAGGGGGTGGCGCAGCATGGGTGGGAGGGAGTGGGAGGGCGGTAGGCCGCTTGACGACTGGCCGCCCGACGACATGGGCGCCAGCCCTCTCAGCGGCATCTGCAGCGGGACCGTTGCCGGTGGCTGGCCGTCGCGGCCAACAACCCCCGTAGGCGAAGCAGCGGCACCAGGACCACCGGTGCTGCAAATGCAAACCACACACAGGCAGACAAAAGCCCATTCAGAGTCAGATCACGCCGTTCGTTCGGAAGAGACCGACTCATCCAGGCAAGCACATGCAACACGCCCTGTGTGTTCTTGCTTACACGGATGTGTTGGGTCTGGCGAACATCTGTGGGTGGAGGCCTCGCGGCGGCTGGTGCTGCTGCATCGGCTGCAGCCGAGGCTGACTCGGACCTCGCACATCCATCCTGAGGGACGGACGAGATCTGATGGCTCCTTCTACCGTCAGACGCTGTGTTGAGCGATCATCCCATATCCCATCTTCTTTCCCTTTTCTTCTCTGTTGTGCGAGCTGAAGGAAAAGGTCGCCTCAAAGAAGGAAACTCCCAACTGCTGCTGCAGAAGGAAAACTGCATGCGCAGCGTGTGTGCCTGACGAGCACTGATCTTGCCGCGCAACCCATTGCCGAGCCATGGCTGACATAGATCCACCTCTCACCAACGGCGCGCCGTCCTCGCGGCTCCCCCCCGGCACCAAGTGGGCTGACGTCGAGCGCGACGCGCCCGCCGACGTGGAGGCCGACGACGAGGAGGAGACCCCTTACACGCGTGTGCGGGGCGAGCGGCAGGCCAGCAGCCACCGAGTGGGTGGCGGGGGTGGCGGCAGGGGAGATCCGCCGCCTCAGGTGCAGTCCTTTCTGCGGAATTTCTACGAGGACGTCGAGGGCCGCAAGGTGGGCAACATCGAGAACGCCTACGAGGGGCAGTTCCCACGGCTGTCGGACCAGTACTACTCCAAGACGCGGTGGGTGGACCCTTCGTCTGTGAGCCGGTACTACGCCGACCAGGGTTTCGAGAAGGAGAAGGACGTCGTGCTAATCCTGTACAAGGAGCTCTTCTACCGGCACCTGCACACGGTGGGCGGGCCGGAGAGCGCCGTGCGGGTGAGGGTGGAGGACCGCGAGGACTCCTGGGGCAACTACCGCGACCTCTTCGACTACTTCCTCGAAGTCGAAATGGAGAAAAAGTCTGTGTGGACACACACAGAGAGAGGAGGAGAGTGCGTGGGTCACTGTGTTCATGTCCGTGTGTTGGATGGATGGGTGGGTGGCCACAGGCCTGGTCGTGGCGCCCGCGGTCTGCAGTTCCCCTACACGTGGACCTTCGACATGCTGGACGAGTTCGTCTACCAGTGGTCGCAATTCAAGTTCTTCCACAACAAGGTAAGGTAACCTCACCATCAATCCATCCATCCCTCCATCCACCCACAACACGCACCCATCTCTCTCTGTCCCTCCCTCTTTGTATGCAGACGAGTCAGGGCCGGAGCAAGCGCAGTGACGACGACGGCCGCATCCGGTTCCGCGAGATGGTTGCGTTGGCCGACCGGCACATATGGGACAGCGCGAGGGTTATCGAGTACCTGCAGCTCCTCGTCAACAAGTCGGGCATCAACCAGTACTTCAGACACAACAGAGAACGAGCAAGGGTACGTCAGGCGAGGCTTGGCGAACTACAGAAGGACGTCACACGAAGGATTCTCTCTCTCCCTCTCTCTCTCTCTCTGCGTGTGTGTGTGTGTGTGTGTGTAGGGTGATGATCGCATCGAGACTGACCTGGGCTTGCAGGTTGGGTACTTCGCCATTGTGCAGCTGCTGCGGTGAGACAGACATCTCTAACAAACAGACAGACAGACACACCTAACCACCTTCTCACCCATCCCACCGCTATCTCTGTCTCTCTGTGTGTGTATTTTGACGTGATGGTTGAGTGCAGAGTCCAGTGTCTGGTGGGCGACTACAGGCTGGCCCTGCAGCAGCTGGACGAGTTTGACTTCAGCGGCGACTCGCTCTTCTACCGTGTCCCCAACTGCCACCTCAGCCTCTTCTACTACATGGGATTCTCGTACATGATGCTCAGGTAAGTCGGTGTGGTGGGGCGGTGGAGGGGTGTGTGCTGCATGGCATGGTGTGGGGTGGGGTGGGTGCCATCGTCAGGCGGTACACCGATGCTGTGCGGGTCTTCTCGCAAGTGCTGACCTTCCTGCACACCAAGTGAGAAAGGGCGACACACACACACACACACACCCGACACGCCACACACACGATCACTCTCTGTCTGCCTGCCTGCCTGCCTGCCTGTGTGTGTGTGTGCCTGCCTTTCAGAAAGGACGACTACCTGCAGGGTACGGCGATGGGTCACCTGCTCAAGATGAAGGACCGCATGTACCAGCTGTTGCTGCTGTGCGTGTGCCTCCACCCCCACCGACTCGACGAGAGCATCAACATGTACCTCAAAGACAAACACGCAGACAGACACGCACGACTCCTCAAAGGTAAGGAAATAAGGGACACACACAACACACGACCTGCGGTGAGGAGAGGAGAGAGGGAGAGGGGGAGAGATTGTGTGTGTGTGTGTGTGTGTTGGGTTATTGGGTGTGTGTGTGTAGATGACGAGCAGGAGTACATCGACGTGTTCAACTATGCGAGCCCCAAGTTTGTGCACCCCGGCTACCCGCCCTTCGACGACATGGACGACTACGACCCCACCGAACTCTCACGCACCCAGGTCGAAGTCTTCCTCGAGGTCAGTGCGGTGGACCCACACCCTCTCACACACATCACGTGACATGACCCACCCAATGCAATGCAGCCCAGCCCAGCCACCATTGTGTGGTGTGTGTGCATGTGTGTGTGTGTGTGTTAATGCAGGAGGTCCGGCACCAGAAGCTGGTGCCCACCATCCGATCGTTCGCCAAGCTCTACACAGCCATCCCCATCCAAGTCAGTCAGTCTGGCGCCTCCCCCTCCCCCTCACTCTCGCCCTCACCCCTGCTGCTGCTGTGTGTCGATTCGATGGTTGGTTGGCTGAGTGCAGAAGCTGGCCTCCCTGATGGAGAAGAACGAGGACGAGATCCGCGAGATCCTCCTGTGCGTCAAGCACAAGGGCCGACAGCTGGTGTGGCGCAGCGGCCCGCCCTTGTCGGGGGAGGTGGTGACGATGGAGGAGGGCGTTGACTTCTTCCTCGACCACGAGATGATCCACGTCAAGAGCACCAAGATACACCACAACTACGTCCAGTACTTTGTCCACAGCATCCACACCTTCAAGGTCAGTGAGCATCACGCTGTTAGGGAGGGAGGGAGGGACGGAGGCAGAGGGACAATTTGCGGCTGTGTGTGTGTGTGTGTGTGTTTTAGGACATGATCCGGTCTGTCGAGCACGGCCTGCAGAGGCGGGAGAGGGTCTGATCGACCCACCCAGAGAGAGAGGCACGCAGGCAGGCAGGCAGGCAGGCTTGTGTGTGTGTGTGTGTGTGTGGTGTGTGTGTGGCTGCCTGCCTGCCTGCCTACCTGCCGGCTTGTCTGCCTCCCTGTCGGGTTGATGTTGATGCGTACGTGGTGTGTTTTAACGGATGTCATATGGTGCGTGGGTGTGGTGTTTTGACATGTCCCTTGCTGGGAGGGACAGAGAGAGCGTCCTATGCTGTTGCTGCTGCTGGTGTGTGGCGATTGATGCGTCGTGTGATGTGGTGTGGGCGTCATCAGAGCGGAGTGTTAGACGTGGCGATGCCTCCATGCGGCCATTGGAGGCGTCACAACGTCTACCACTGCCACCAGATGGGCCTCACACGAACCACTCAGGCACGTCGCCGTCAAAACAAGAAAGAATACACTCACTCAGGGGAGGGCTTCGTGATATCCTCACATGGCCCTGGTGTCATGACATTTGGTGTTGCATCTCACCTTGATGGCCTTCAGCTGTCGCGCGTTTGGTGTCAGAACCAAACGAGCGCAGGTGGAGGACATCGATGAGTCAGATTCGACACCAAGTGTCCATGGCCGTGTGAGAACCGACTTTGTCTGCTCAATGCGTGAGATGCCTGGCACGTCTGCACTGCAGATCCACCGATGATCGAATCCGTTCGCGCGGAGATCTCCCCGATAAAGCTCGCATTGTAAGGAGGGACGGGCCGCCAGCGGGCGGGAAGATGGGCCTTCTCGACGAGTTGCGGCGTCTGCTGCGGCGCCTGTTCGAATGGATCCTCAGACAGATCACTGGTAGCTGAAAACCACATCACATACCAGTCAGCGAAAAGATGGCATGGTCTTTGGTCATCTTTCAGGCCAATGTGAGCTCGAGAGACTCTCAAAGGTACGCTGCAGTGACGCACAATGGGTGATCCAACACGTGGATGGATGGATCTGGGTGCTGCCTGCCTGTGTGCCTGTGTGTCTGTGTGTGGACACAGACGTTTGACCCGGTTCGTGTGGAGGAGTCGTTGAGGGCGTCGCGGCAGCTGCATGACGTGGCGCAGAAGCTGCTCATCAGCAAAAAGGAGGAAGACCTGCAACAGGTGGGTGGGTGAGGTGGGCAGCTCCGTGTGCGGACAGGCAACAAGAGCATGCTTTGTGTTGGGGTCACGGTCCCTCGCCCATTGCAGATGGTTGACGAGGTGCTCCGAATCAAGGGCGCGAGAGACCCACAAGGGTGAGAAAGAGACAAAGAGCGAGACTGAGTCTCACAGCTCCACGCATGGCCTCGTTGACCATCGACAGGTTCCGCATCGGTCTGCAGAGGAACTGCCAGGCCCTCCGGAACGTCACTCGAGCATCCTACCTCATTACAGGTACTGACTGATTCCCACACAAACCATCCCACGTCTCATCTGACGCCATGCAGATCGGTGTCACGTGGGTTACTCCTCCGACAACGCCGACCACGAGGCCCTGCTGGACGAGCTGTGGCGGCTGCTGAAGCCCGGTGTGCAGCGGTCGGGGCGGGTCACGAAGGAGTGGGAGGAGCTGGGGTTCCAGGGGCCGGACCCTGCTACCGACTTCCGTGGCCTCGGTGAGTGAGTGAGATGGGACACATCACATGGATGGACGAATGGACGTCTGCTGTGTTTGGCTGTGATGTGAGTCCATCAGGCATTCTGGGCCTGGAGAACCTCGTGTAAGCGTGCAAGCAAGCTGATAAAAAGAAAGAAACGATGATTCTTCTCTCCATCCTGTCTGTCTGTGTGTGTTGTCTGGTCTGGTCTGTCTGCCAAACAGGTTCTTCGCGCGACGGCACCCGTCTGTGGCCCGGAAGCTGATGGTCGAGGCGGGGAAGCACCCCAAGTACTGGTACTTCTTTGCCGTGACCGGACTCAACATCACCGGATGGATGCGCGAGTGGCTTGAGGTGATCGAGATGCGGGCAGACAAACCAAACCACACACACAGCAACCGGGGGCAGCCGGGGGCACAGACATATGGGGTGTGGTGTGTGTGCCACATGTCTGTCAGAACCACGAGCGCATCGCCTTCTACTTCTACCACGCCGACACACCTGAGCAGGCCTTCGAGACCTTCAACCACATCTATGGTCGGTCAGCCCAGCCAGCCACCCCCACTCACACCCCCACCTCTCCTGTCTCTCTCTCTGCGTGTCTCTGTCAGTGTATGTCTTTGCGTCGTTCCACCCCTATTGGTTTCGGTGCCAGCCCGCGTCCATCATGGAGTTCAACACCGTGGCCGACCGGTTCGTCAGCCAGCTCAGCTTCCCTGCCCTCCCGGCGCATGAGCTCACCACGGCAAGTACTGCTGCTGCTTCTGGTGGTGCTGGCGAGAGGGGTAGCGCGCCGAGGTCGGTTGAGTATGAGCAGGGCCATGTTTGGCATGAGCCAGAGGATGATAGGCCCACCTCGTCTAAGGCTCATGAGGAGTGAGGGAGTGAGGGACTCGGTGGTGTGCAGACAGACAGTCAGTGAATGGGTTTGGTGTACAGAGCTAGAGAGAGTCAGAGAGGACGGCATGGCTCCATGCGTGGGAGGGAGGGCGCATGTCATGTGGTTGATGTGATTGATAAAGCGTCATGGAGCCATCCGGTCAGTGTGTGACATCAAATCACTCACTCTCACTCACCCTACACAGAAGGAAGGTGTCAGCCAGGCAGCCAGCCAGGCAGCGAGAAATGACATACACACGTCATCACAGCACAACACAGAACACACCACATGCAGGACGTCTGTCTACAAAAGACAGATAGACAGGCGCGTGTGCAGATGAACCCCACGAACCCTTAAGGTACATACCACGAACCCTTAAGGTACATAGATGCCTAGAAAAGGTCATTATCTCACACCCACCCACACCACACCACACCACATGGCCCACGCGCGCAGCATGCATCTCACACACCTAACCTAGCCAGGACAGCACTCAAGCCCCATAAAGGAAAGAAGGATTCACTCACTCCCACGCCCACCCACATGAAGGCGCACGAATGCATGGTTAGATGGATAAAACACGTACACACACAGAAGGGTGGATGACGTCCTCCCTTTGATGTGAGTGATGCACACTTTTCTGTCTCATCCCCCACCCCCAACCCCACTGCCAGCATCTTCCTGCAGCACATCAGCCATTGCAATGGCACCAGCCGGAAGGCTCTCGTTGGCCGCCGCCTGACCACCCTGATGTATTATGTCGTCCTGCCACTCGTCCACCAGGAGGTATCGCGGCCTGCGGTTGACGGCGATGAGCTGCGCGATGACGAGTGCGATGAAGGCGCAGAAAGTGATCAGGATGATGCTGCAGCAGCAGAACTTGATGCAGTTGTAGTTGTCAGGACCTACAGGCAGCACAGCCATCCACACACACGTGTCAGGGAGCGAGTGGGGCGTGGGTGGTGGATATATGTGTCGTGTCGATCGCCCCCTAGCCACCGATGAGCATCCTAATGAAGTTGAATGGCTGTCTGAAGGCCAGGGACCAGTCGAGCCGGTCGCGAGGCGGCGGCAGGTGGGGGTTCCGGTTGGGCTCGTTCCGGCCATCACCCACTGGCTCGCCGTCCGCTAAAGACTTGGGCACCAGCTGAACCTGCACCAACACACACACATGGGCTGGGCTGCTCTTCTCTCCCTCTCCCTCTCTCTGACTCTGTGTGTGTGTGTGTGTGCCTGACCTGCGCGTGAAGCGTTGCAGGTCGGTTCATGGGAGGCCGGCGCCATCGATGACACCCCATGCGACGCGCACACCTGTCAGCCAGCGATATATCGGTGCATGCGCTGCTTCCTCGGTGGCTGATGGCTCGCCCAGCTCAGCTGGCTCACTTCTTCATTCCGAGTGGGAAGAATCCCTTCTGTTTGGGCGCCTCGTGTCTGGGCGGCTCCTCCTGCGCGACCTCATATGTCGACAACACAGGCGCCTCGAGATCGTCTTCATCCTCATCTGCACCCCACACCCATCCCACCACACACACACACACGCCCACGCCCCACACATACCATTGACATGTGTCTGCGTGTGTGTGACTGACTGACTGACTGACGGGATGAGATGGGATGGGCCGCTGACCTACCTTTAGGGAAGCATGGCCTGACTCGGTTGCCGTATGGCTGGGGGATGCAGTCGAGGAAGCAGCAGCAGACGAACTCGCTGATGACGCACCACGTCATGCGGACGCACGCCCCCAACTGACCCGCGTCAATCTGACACCCACACCACCAACGCACACACACAGAGGAGAGGTGTCCGGGTGTGGTCCATCCAATGTATTGCACACACACGTAGCACAGCACCGTGTCTTGCGCACCTACCTTTGACACAGGGGGTGGGCTGAATCTGACTTGCACGTTGAGGGCCGGCAGCGGCAGGTCTCCGTTGACCTGCCGCTGCAGAGCCACACGGCAGAGGTGGTCCAGCTCGTAGGACCGGGGCGCGTAGATGAGCTCGTCGGTGCTCAGCCTGACATAAATAACCACACGCACACACCCACACCCACGCCAACACACAGAGAGAGAGGGTGAGGGGTGTGGGAGGTGTGTGGGAGGTGTGTGTTTTTGCTGACTGACGTGTCAATGTCGACGAGTTTCACGACGAGCTCGACGTGATAGGCGGGGAGTGTGATGGGGAAGAGGATGCGGTAGTTGAAGTTGGCCATGTCCTGCGCGAACTTGTGCACGTCGGTGCGCTCGGAATAAGCCACGCGCCGGCCGTTGAAATGCGTCACCTGCACCCCCCACCCACACACCACCCACACACACCGCCCAGATGCACACACAGCTGGATGGATCGATCACGGCGCCCTTCCTTAGCCCGTGGGGGGGACACTTACGATCAGAGTGACTTCGACAGTTACGTCGTTCCGCCTGGCGAGGTCCTTGAAAATGGTGATGTTCTCAACGTTCCACACCACCTGACACACACAGAGGTGTGTGTGTTGGGGGGGAGGGTGCGTGCGTGCGTGTGTGTGTGTGTGTGGGCGGACCATTCTGAGCTGGAACTCCTCTGTGCGGACGCAGTCCTCGATGGGTATCTCGTCATAGAGCGATGTCTCCTCCTCTGGCACCAAATCGACTATCGCCCTGCACACACACACACACACAGGGAGAGAGAGAGAGAGAGAGGGAGAGTCCCATACAGCCATGAGAGCATCCCATGCACTCCGAGAATGTCTGTGTGTGTGTGTCTGTGCTGTGTGTCTGTTTGCGCGCCACGGCATACCTGAGAGTGCCTGTGGGCAGCCCCAGGTGCTGCGAGCTGCCCGACTTCAGCAGCGGGAGGATCTCGACCGGGAAGGGCCGCTTCGGCGCCAGGAATGCCCCTCCTCTGAACCATAACAAACCACACACAACCACACCATGCCATCCATCCATCCATCCACCCCCCCCCACACACACACATACATCTCATGCGGCCCGACGGTCTGCATCTCTCGCTTATACGCCAGCCACCGGTCCTCGACGTCGATGCGCGCCTCCCCAATCAGCTCCTCCCCCATGGCCCTCCTATCAAACACCCGGACCCGCAGCTCAGCGTCCCCCGGCACCCTGGCCTGGAACACCACATGTCTGTAGAAGCTGGGGCTCGCCGTGTTGGTGCTGCCGCGGGGCATCTGGGCTGTCGCTGTCGTCGTTGTGGTGTCGCTGCTGGTGTCGGTGCTGCGGTACTCCTGGCTGCCTAGCGAGGCCACGAAGAACGGGCTCATCTGGGGCGAGGGGGTGCCCTCCATGCTGACGAGATTGCGCGCCGAGAGGACGTAGAGGTGCACTGCTAGGGGCTCGCTGTGCCACAGCTTGTCCAGGGGCACCGTGCCCGCCAGAAGGGCTTTCTCCGGAAGGGGTGTGAGGGAGTCCTGGGTGGACCGGGCGGACATCACCTTTGCTACTGGCGTCTTAGTGCCAGACGGCCTTGCGGTTGTGCCAGCAATGGGTAGCTCGGGTGTGTCCTCGTTGACAGCCTCACCGCCCTCGACGCCGTCGGCCTTCTGCTCTTCCACCGTGATGCTCCCTGCGGCATACACGTGTGTGCTGATGGCGGTTGTGCGAACGGGTTGATACCTTTGAGTTGACCGATGGACTTGCGCGCGTCGCCCCAGAAGAGCCTGTGGTTGAGGTTGATCAGCGGCACCGCGCCCATCGCGCCGAACCAGTCCACCCCCCGCCCTGCGCCCAACACACAGACACAGAGGCGTTCACCTCAATCCCCATCTCTCTCTCTCTCTCTCTGTCTCTTTCTGTTTGTGTGTGTGTGTGTGGCTAAGAGTGGCTGGCCGGCTGACCGGCCTGCGGTCGGTCGAACCCCTCTCTGCGCATGATGCGTCTAAGCCGCAGCACAAACTGCCCCACGCGTACGCGGATTGGCTTCTCGTGCCCGTTGGCCACCTCACAACCCACAAGCATCTCCTACACACACACACACACACACACATCATGATGTGCATACGAGGGTGTCCGCGTGTCGCCTCTGTCTCTGTCTCTGTGAACGACTCACTCACCCGGACAGCCTGCGGGACGAAGCCAACGGTCTCTGGTATGAGATTGACGCGGCTTCCCCCTCCAGCCGATGCGCCCGCCCCCCCGCCCACACCGCCCCCCCCGGCACCACCGGAACCGCCCAGAATGGCC